AAAAAAAAAAAAAAAAAAAAAAAAAAGCATATCTTGTGATATATCAGGCTAAATAAAGCAGGGCAGGGAACAGGGATTCTGTGGAGCAGAATCATGAGGACCAAAGGAAAGATAAGAAGGAGAGGCTCTGAGCAGGAAAGCTTGTTCTTGCCAATCATGCAAGCAGGCAGGAGGAAAAAAAAAGAAAAAGAGACTGAAGGACTCTGCATCTGTGAAAGGCAGTTAAAGGCTCCTTCGTTTCCTCTCGCTCCTTGTAAAATTTTTGTTGTTCTGGTTGAGCTGGGGCTCTTCAAGGTTGTAAACATCCACTCTGGGCACACACGGCACAGCACAGCTGGACAAGGAGAAAAAAAAAATTTATAAAAAGACAACAAGCTTCCTGCTCAGCTTCTGCCTTCTCATACTGTTTTCTACAAGTCAGGGAGACTCAATGGCTACCAGCAGCAAACAAGCAGCCTCACCTTATAGATGAAACACCTTCACCTTATGGATGAAACAACAACTATTAGTGGATATAGTAAATGGAACTAAATGATGCTTCAGACTTTTACTCATCCTGCTTGTTCAGCTCACCAAATGTCCTTCACCCAGCCACAAAACTAATCTCCACAACCTACCCATACCTGAATCCTATAGACCTTCTCCCACTCTTTACCATCAGTATCTACAATGAAGGTGACACATAGACTAGGAAGACAGCAGCAAGCATCACCTGCACCATATTAGTGTTATGCAACACATTAKCCAGGAAGGAGAATACATTATGCCTTTAAAATGCATTGGGAAGGACCAAGATGGTTATGGTCAAGCATACCATTTTGAAAGACATGAAATTACGTCTACGTTAGTGCTTGGAAGTCGCAGGAAAAAGAAAAAAAAGTTTTCCAGCATGCTGGAGACACAACCTCTTTTGTAATTCTAGTAATGGCCTGGGGAAAGAAGGAAAGGGGCAGTGGGTGAATCCCTACTGCTAGCTAATTAGATAATACATTTACTCTCCCAGGCAATATATCTTTCCCTGCATGGGATGCATTTTTCTTCACCAGCCTCTCAAAAGCAGCTTCCCTATAAATCACARATCACCACTGCAAGCATTCCCTTAATGAGATTTTCAAGTTTTTGCATTCATTTAATAAACAATGTTCACCTATCTTCATCTTACTGGCAGGTTTAGACTGTTTATTCAAAGTTAAGGGAAGTCTTTTGGGGAGATTGAACTCCCCATACAAAGATCATACAGGATCACCCATTCCCCAGGCATTCCTATTCCCCATATGCCATGTTGCAGGTGGCAGACACCTGACGTGCTATTTTCAATATGAATAAACACAACAAAAAATACCCCCCAAAAATCCTCATGCTGTAGTCATATCATGAGTGGAACTGGGGGGAAAAAGAGCTGCCAAATCACAAAGAGGCGTGAGCAGAGTAGCTCCTTAACTAAAGCAGCACAGCACCTAAATTAACTCTTACTCTTGCTAGTCAGAGGTGGCTAGAATCTGCAGGCAAGTCTGCACTCAGTCCACATAAATAAATGGTCATCCCCACAGCCCATTCAAGATTTAAAAAACAAACAGAAACAAACAGAAAAAAAAAAAAAACACACACACACACAAAAAAATTACACACTCAGTAATCCTAATCCTTGTCAAAAAAGGCAAGTCCTGAAAGCCAGTGGAGGCTCTACTTTGGAGCAAGTTAAGAGCTTTCCCTGTATGTTCTGACATTTATGCAGAAGGCTTCCTGCAAGAGGCCCCATTTCTTTTCTTGTGGGCCTAGTGTATATTTGACCCCTTTTGTTGGTGTGTCATGTTCCTTAGCCAATTCTCACATACTGCTCATCAACACACTGCTGCTGGCGAAATAAGCTCATCTGCTTTTCCAGATTCCTGAAGCTCTTCATAAACTCTGCTACAACATCTGCAAGCAACATTTCTTATGTTCAGTCCAAAGTACGTGCCCTAGCAATGAATATAAAAAATGGTTATAAAATATACATATAAGTCTTGAAACACAGATTCCTGAAAAGCCTGCCTGAAAAATCATTCAGTGCTCACTCTCCACAAATTTCATCTTCGCTTGCCCAAGGGAGTTTAAGATAATCTTGGGAGAAGAGAAAGGTTACAGCTTTGAACTCCTCAGACCCAGCTACAACACAGTCCAAGGCTGCTTTCACATACTATATTAGCAAATATATTCGTACACAAGTAACATCAGTTCTCCACATAAAAGAAGTTATTCCTGAGCTTTTACCCATCAGTTTGGTCTGACACCAAACTTTCAAGCGGACATGTCCCCATCCCTGAATCAGAAAAACAGCCAGCTTGGTTTTTTTGCTTCCTAGAGCCTTTTTCTGCTAGTGATGTAAAAAGGAGAGGCAGGGACAGGTAAATAACAAAAACATCTGATTCTAGTGTCCAAATGAGGCCCTGTGAACTGAACCTAGTGAGAATAAAGGCATTTCCAATTTCACTTGACAAAAAGAAACAAAAACATAAAACATAAGAAATTCATGAAAGGATAATTCGTTTTAAAGTGTTGTACCTGCCTCTAGAATAAAACAGGATTTCTTCCGATGACCGGAAGGCGCCCCGTTTGCTCCAACACGGTAGCGTCTTGAGAAACCATGTGAGCCGGGCCCAGCAGAGGGTGCTGTGCCACCAAGTGACAGCGACACCGAGGCAGGCCAGGCTGCTCCCACCAGGCAGAGGAACGGAGCCACACAAGGGAGGGGAACCCGTTCTGGAAGTCAGATACGGTTATTAGTCACCAGCACTACAGTCTGAAAACTGACACGGATACCACCATTAACACAGATCCCAAACTCCGGGCATTGTGGAGAGCACATTTAAATCCAGATTGGTCCCCACACAGTTTCTATATGTCAGTTTTGGAGCACAGGTCTCCTACTGAAAATGCTTTGCAAATGACAGGGCCGGATTGCTCCTGCCCTGCAACATAYGTACGGGGTTAAGTTGCTTAAGTTGAAAAATACTCTGTCAGCTTCCTCTCTCCTTCTGAAAACCTCCAAATCTTTCCTTGGAGCAGCAGGAAGTCTGTTCAGACAAGAGACATGGCAGCATCAAAGCAAAGAGCTAGCAATTTCAATTCTKCCCTCCCCCTTTTTCTTTCCACCTCCTCCAGCCAAGCAGATTTTCAGTGAGGAGAGAACCAAGCTAGGGAACATGAAAGGAATGCTGAGGTAGCAACTCTAGGAAAGTGTCTTTTATTTTGAAATACCAGAATATGACCATGAAAAATACAAAAATCTCATCTTTTTTCTTCTCTCTGTATTCCAGCCTGGGCACTGAAAGAAGCTCAAGGGCCAAATAAGTCACCCTAGTCACATTCCTCATCACACTAGTGAGTGAAACGATTCCACCTTCTCTCTGTACAGTTGATGGAATAACCTCGCCAGGATGTGGAAAGGGGCCTCAAAGTTTTTCATCTCTTTCTGCAAAGAAATAAGAAAGCTGTGAATAGCAGATGGAATAAGCATTTGACTAACTACTGAAACTACTTCATAAAAGACAGATTTTAACTGAGAGTGAATTAGAAGTGAAACAGTGCCCCCAGTTACTCCCCCTCGCCCGAAAGAGGGGATTACTTTACAGACACTGACTTCCACAGACAGTGGGAGGAGCAGATACTCACCACTGACATCTCACAGTATTCCAGGCCTTGTTTCTCAGCCCACTCCTGTGCTTGCTTCTGCTGCACAACTCGACGACCAACCAGGTCTGTTTTATTCCCCACTAAGACACCTACAGCAAGGGGGGAAAAAAAAAAGCAAGCTTTTTTCAGCTTTCTTTCAGCCCAGAACTGCTGATTTGTTAGTAATAAATGCCAGAATATTTGTGGAAGGAGCTGAACAAGTTGGGGGTAGGGAGAACAGGCTACAACTACAAAACTGCCTAGAAAAAGATTCCACAAAGGAATCATCTGAAAATGATTGTGCCTTGTCTGCTTTGTGATAAAAGCAGATGAGCTAGAGGAAGCTATGCCTGGGCTTAGCTTAAAATACATACTCTGTGCCACATCTCAATGGAAACAGCTGCTGCCATACAAGAGGGAAGCAGATAAAAAGATTCCCATCCCTTCCTTACCTGGAAGATGCATCCCAACTGCCTGAGCCCTCAGCTTCTCCAGCCACTTGGCACAGTTGTTGAAAGACTGCTCGTTAGTGACATCGTACACAAGGCACAGGACGTTGGGTTGCTCCCACTGCACAGCAAGAAAAGAGTGTTGTCAGCTCTAATGAAACTGATGTGGTCAACAGGCAGCCCCCATCTACACAGCAAACACAGATGCTAAGACAAAAATAAAAAGCCTAACCTAAAAGAACCCTAAGCTCAGGTGGGAGTTTCATATTTCTTTTGAGCTGATKAAATGGGTAGCTGCTGCTAAGAGCATTGGTCTTGCTTTCTCCCCCATTCCTGTCTCCACAGTTGCACTCTTTTATTTGTAGCAGCTCCAGCATTCACTCCTGATCCCTGGGAAACAGATTCTGCATGCTGAATCAGCACAAAACTAATCCGGGGGAAAAAAGTAGAATGATTTTTTGCCAGTTTGAGAAGCTGAAGCAGCTTCCCAAGAGGTCCTCTACAAACAGACCTGGTGTAAGGGCAATGGTGGAATTGCCCCTTGTAGTGCAATGAATCATTACATTGACTTAGCCACTTTGTGAAGTCTCATCTTGCATCAATTAATTGATCCTGCCTTTTGAAATGAGACAATACAATGGAGAGCTRTATAGGTGAGGACAAGAACAACAACAGCAACAAAAAAAACAAGGGCGGTCTCATGTCCACATGAAAGAGTCCTGCTGGATCAAAGCAATTCCTATAATGGCAAAAAGCCCACTGATGTGGTAGTAGGAAAATGGATGTTTTTCTATGAAATAAAAGTAAATTTAACCAACAGCACATAGTTGTTCACAGCCAAATATCCCTATTTCTTTTGTTARGAAATTGAAGTATCACCTGCATTCCTTCCTTCAGGAAAGATTTCTTCTGGTATTTTTACAAGTTTCAGAGAGAGAGAACAGCAGAAATTGGCAACTGAGGTAGTGCCCATTTGTACTAAAGACAAAGTCTGCTACAGCTGCCAGACTGGGGAGTTCAGCTCTCCAAAGCAAAAGCACTTCTTTGGAAGGAGAGGGCTGTTACATAATACTCACCAGTTTCTCCAACATCTCAGAAAATAGATCTTTCCCTGCAGAGTCAAAAATGAAGAGTTCCTGAAAGCAGAAGGAGAAAGGGGGCTTTTGCCAGGAAAACACAGTGTAGGGAAAGGTTTAGAAAGTAAATACTGGAACCTGCTACTTTTAAATTTTGTTCAGTGCCCTATCCCTAAGGGACAAGCTCCTCACACCAAGAATACTGCCTGTTCAGACAGCATGAGGAAAAAAAAAGCTATTTTTCCTATATAAAAAAGAAAAGGATCACCAAACCTTGTTTAAGTCCCTACTGGAAACACAGTATGTGGAGCTAGTTAGTAAGAAGCTAACTTCTATTATTTATATAAGATAAACATACACATGCCATTAGTGGGAGTTTCTGGGGTTATTTGTTCTCAGAAACATGAACTAATCCTGAGTGTCCTAAAGAACAGTACATATTCTTTAAAAAGCTGACAGCAGCTTTGGCTCAAGATGTCATCTTGCATATAAGCATGCAAAACTTGCATTCTAAGATTGAACTATCCCTGGAGAATCAATAATCTTACAAGATCACCCTTATTTCCTTAATGCAACTTAATGGTCTTATGAACATGAAGAGGGATCTTCCACCAATGAGACAAAAAGAGAGGTCTGAGCTCTAGACATGTCCTTCTGACTCAATTTATGTCACAGAAAAACTCACCACACTATCACTTGTCTCTGGAACCGATACGGCCTTCACCAACAGTTCTGTGCCCGTTGTCTGTCAAAAAGAATCAGGAAAACAAGGATCAGAAGAGTTTTTAAGAGCCTGTCTATCTGCGTACCAACTGTTCATTGGATTGAGGCAATTCTTGTGAATCATTACAATTCCATCAAATGTACTGTTGGGAAGTCAACAACACTCCTCAAAGATCTGGTAACATACTTCTACTTACATGTCAAACCCATGCAGATTTGCTCAAATAGGGGAAAAAAAGACAGAAAAGAAACAACATCCAGAAATTTGGTTATATACACGGGTGTTAGTTGAAATCTGCAAGGCTATGTTCACTTTMGTAGTGCTGCTCTTTTCACAGTTCTGCCTTAGAACTTTTTGCACCAACCATGTGATCAGCTACCATATGGGATTGTGGTAATTTGTCCTTCTTCCACCTTTTATCTCATTCTGCTTTGTAGCTCATTTGTTTGTTCTATTTTCATCCCTAACTTCTGGTTTCCAGCATTACTTCAATGAATAAACATATGCCAGTTCTCCCTCCTCATTTTTTTTTTTTACTTTACTTATATTTACTTTTATTTTTATCCTGCTTCTGATTAGTCATCACCATTGATTCCTGCACTGAAAGACTGCAAACTGTATCCTCTTCATCAGCGAACAGTTTCTGTAGATTATAATTATCTTRTGACTACGCAGCACATCTTCATGTTTGCATAGTGATAAGCACACTGTCCACACACACATTTAATAGTTGAAATGAACAGCTTTCTCCTTCAGCAATGCTTTTTCATGGAGTGCTCCCTAAAGGGTGAAGCTCTCCAAGACCACAAAAGCTTGTGAAAACATTGATTCAGCAGGAAAATGACAAAAATTAACTGGTTTACTCTGCATTAAGCTTTGAAGCTAGCCCCTACATAATGCAAAGAMTTAAAATGCTAAGCTATTTTTCTTCAGGAGTCTTGAGGGAGAAAGGAAACCCTAAAACAAGATCCCACCTTCAATKCCTCAACTTAAAGTAACATTATTCATTTTTTTCTCTATAGTTTCTTATTTTTCTTTCATGAAACACAGAAAAGTTGCTGGAGAGCCTATTGTCCCATTTATGCTCACTAGCGTATAATTCTTCTGAAAATGGGCCCCATCACTGCGGAACATCTGGGCTAAAGCAGTCTTCCCCACAGCTGGATCACCTGCAAGACCAAAGATAAAAGAGATTTTCGTTCCATTTTACAGTATCTTATTTTCCTGCTGTTACATTTAGTTCTCTACCTTCCTGTGGTAAGGGCTTATAACCTGAACACAGGTAATATAAATCCCATAAGAAGCACAAAACAACCAAAAAAGCCAACCTACATGCTGAAAACGATGTTGTCGTTATGCAGAGTGGGCTGATTTCATAGCTCTGCTCCATCGCAACAATAAAGAAACCCCAGATCAGAGCAAAATTGCAATTTGTTCTAAAATTAACGTCTAGTCTATAGCTTTTAGCTAAAGAGTAACAGTTCCCAGACACAGGATAAGAGGGACTGAACTGCATAGGAGGCTGTTTCTTCTCATTAGGTTACATGTTTTCCTCAAATTCATATCATTGTTATATACTGAGTTCAGGTAAGAAACTGATCATTTTTATTCCCCAAAGCTTCTTAAGCTGGTAACATTCCTCCATGACTCTTCTTGCTGACCTTGCTAAGACAGCAACTCTTGCTGACTCAATGCTGCTGTTGTCTCATTAGTTGCATCCTGGACATAACAGGAGAAAATGTCATTGGCTGAAGAGAAAGGTCCTCCTGATTCATCCCTACATGGGAACAAAATCAGGAGGCTTTAGTGTTTGCTCTTTTAGAGTCAAGACTTACTGGTGTGGTTTGCACAACTGTTTGAGCAAACTTGAAAGCTGCCCTACCTTGGACAACTGCCACAATCTGCCAATGCAGTGGCAAAGAATGGCAGAATCTGTGTGCACCCAAATCACTTCATGAAGCATACTGCACGTCATCATTATTGAAAATAAATGAAAATGAAAATATTAAAGTCAACTTAGTGCTCTCAAATGGCTTATCCTTACTCYGTATCTCCTTTTCTTGATCTAGTAAGTTCAAATAGGCAGGAATTGGGAGTTAAATCTCTCAAAGGTATAGCTTGACCCTTGAAGGAATACTCATGACAGCCAAACCTGAAATACAAGTCTTTTATTTTATATCATTAATAAACAAAGCAATGTAGAAACATCCTTTGACGATATTCCAGTTTCCTATGCTTCCTGTGTTGTGTTTTGAAGCAGACTGAGAAATTTTTAATCTTACATGGCACTATAGAGAAA